AGGTAGGCAGAACTCACAAGTAAGAAGGGTCAAAGCCAGTTTAGTGACCTCATCTTTTGCTACAGAATCCTTATGGTGTAGGGCCTACAAAATTAATTTTTTTGCCCCAGCTAGCAGACATGGTCAATGCAGCAATACCATCTAGCTCATTCCAGGTGACCATAAAAAACCTGCTGAAATGCCATCCAGATAATTGGATGCAATGCTGATAGGACTGGTCTTGCACCTAAAGGGATACATCACATCACCTCTGTGTACATCATTCTTGAATATCTGCTTCAGAAAACATGATTCGGATTTCACTGCTGAATAATTTTACATTTGTACTATTTGAAAAGTAAGATGTTGAATATTCTATTACATAAGAGCTACTCCTTATAATAAGAGTCCTATTTATAATGTTTTACTTTCCTCTAAGGTAACTTCCAAGCCACGAGCAGATGATATTTGCTACAAAATGGCAGTGACAAAAGCCCAAATAATAGAAAACAGTCCAGTTTGGAAGATGCTTCAGGAGTACCAGCTGCACTGTAATTAATTTAGTATTTGAGGGGTTTATTCATAAATAGAGTGGCTACATTTTAAACAAAATATAGTGTTCTTAAAAATATAGTTACATTTCAAAAAACTGTATATACAACTTATGCATTTGGAATGAAAATTTATATTAAATAACTATAAAATGAAAAATAGCATACGTTATACCAAATGTGCATTCTAAGAAAACAAAAGTGGTTTAACTGCACTATAGAAAAGCCATCCTTATTTTTAACTTGAGTCTGAATTTATGAGCTCATCTGTTTGTAATCTGTTTGTAATCATTTCCCAAATATATATCATATTTGGGAATATCATATCATAATATATCATAAGGAAAACTTTACCATTAAGGATAAGGATGATCAAAACAATTCCAAAATACAGGTTTCCCATGCATAAACAGGTATATGTATGAAGTCTTACACAGTGTTTTTTAAAGTCAAGTGTTATCTTTTGTGTTACTACATTTTAGCATCTTATTTGGCTGAAAGTTGATGTGTTTTTATTTAAACCTGCTTTCATTTGCTGGAGTGTTTCTACTATCATCTATCTATAGCTTTCAGTCCTGTTTGTAAATAGAGAAGCTTGTTTGTCAACATTAAGAAGTGCTAATAAAAATAGTTTGTGCTTAAATACTGCTTTTCAATGAACAGTTCTCCAGTCACTTCATAAAAATCTGTAATTCACACCAGTCAGCAACTATTAGGTAACAAATTTTGAAAAGGAACAGAAAAATAAGTACACAACCATACCTCTTTGCTGCAGCATAAGAACAAAAAACCCCCTTGTTTTTAGTTTCTAAACTTAAAAAAAAGCATCAAATTCTGAAGAGGAGTCCTTTAGTAAATAGGCCATCTCTGTGAATCACATACAACAACAGCAAAAGAAAAGAGAACAGCAACAAGACACCGGAGAGTAGCATTTGCAATTCTTCTAGAGGCCACTCTAAATTGCTCTTCTTTAAAGGATGGTAGCCTCCTTTTCAACTGAAGTCTCATAGTCCAAATGATCTGGTAAGAAGTATGCTAATTCAAATACTTCAGCTGGCCTAACTGTTTTCATCCATTACAGCTTTTATTTTCACTTCAATGAGTTCTTCTACTCGAGCTAAAACACTTTCTATTAAATCAAATGTGAAGAGAGCCGAGTGTAAAACCTGAAATGACAGAAGAGATTAATGTTATTTTTATTAGAAGAATTTTTTTTTAACCCACTGTACATGTACATTTGTCTCTAGACTGAAAAGAAAATTTCAATACTTCTGAATAACCTTGGAGGAAATGTTAACTCACCTGAAGCTGCATTTCAGGAGTCAGGGCGGGCATCTTTTCCCCACTAACAGTTACAGAACAAACTGTGTTAGAACTGTGTGCCGCTGTAGAAAAAAAACAAGCAGAGGTCAAGCTCCTGTTTCACATAACTTTCAGAATGAAAAGAATATTTCATATGTTAGCATTTCTAGACAGTAATTGTTAAAAATTGCAAACCTATGCATTGACCAAAAATAGGACAGAAGGTGCTATAACCTTAAGAGGAAGACAGTGAGCTAGATGCTATCTCTACAATTTCTGTATCACATATGACTACATCACTAAACAGGCACTATCTGCAACTCAAAGCAATGTTATATAGCTAAAATTCTCCTTAAAAGGAAAAAAAAAATACTAAGTTTGGTCATTTTTTGATACATTTTTAGTACATCTACATCCAGAGAGATAGTAGGAGGTTCTTTACCTTGACTTAATTAATCTAGACATGAAATGCTTATTTTATTAAGAAAAGGCTGCAGGCTTCTCTGTTTCAAGCAGATTACTTGCAGCAGGCAAAACTACAAAGAGAAGTCTGAAAACTAAGGGGAAAACCTCTTACATTCCAACCACATATTTGAAATTCAATGTAACACTTACAAAGATAATACATTGGGTAAAAAGGCTAAACCATTTACTGCTGTAAGTTAGATGTTGTCTCCTGAACTCAGAGCAATGTAAGAAGTACTTAGAGAAAAAGCTTTGTGATTCATTCTAAAGGATTCCTTTTAGAAAGATACCCACAGGTTGCCTTCAGAAAAATTCCCCTTCTCTGCCTCACACTTGTGTAGTTTACAACAACAGAAGAGGATAAGACCAGGTCCAAAAAGCCATACTGACATTTTTGGTGGCAGAAGCAAGTTCCTTGGGCTGTCTTCATTATGCTGGGGACCACAAAGAAACAGATGATCTGACATACAGAGATGGCCTAAAGCAGCTACAGCTCTTATGCCCCCTGCCTCTTATGTGTCTGCTTAACTCAGAGCAGAATTTGATTCTGTGTGTCAGATTACAAAAAAAATTTAAAACAAATCCAGAATGCAATCCTTCAGGCTTTAAGAGAGCACCTATTTGCTGTGTGAATTATTTCTTCTCGTGTTAACCTCCCTACACCCAAGGGCTATATATATACAGAGAGACTTTGATGCTCCTCTCTAAACTTAAAATCAAAAGTATAAATGCAGAACAAGTTTTGAAGGTCTTCCATAAGGTTTACAAATGTGATGAGATAAACAAGTCCAGATTTTTCTGACCAATTATGAAAATTATTAGTATCAAATATAACAACTACTGAATGATTATTTGAAACTTGGAATAGTGTCAATGGCTAAATAAAACATGATCTATACAGCACTCACCACTTCTTAGTTTCCAAAGGATTTCCAAGGTTTCTAAATATGAAGAAGGCTGCTCAGAGAAATAGAAAACAACTAACCTCTTCTGTTTTGTTTCGTATTCTTTATTTCTGCTTCATAGTGCGCTTTTGACATATTGAGTCCTACGTGCAGTGGTTTTAAAAAATTTTGCTCAATCTTGGTAAGTGTGGTCCATACACCAGTCTATTCAAACAGAACAGAGGTTACAAATCAGTTTTAATGAAGCATTGCAATGGTAAGTTTTCAAGCACTAGTTTTCAGACTAGTCTTTATAACATACACTTCTGTGCTGGGAGGAAAAAGAAAAAAATAATTTAGACTCATCCACTTAAGCACGCATAAGCATAATGATGGACATTTAAGCTCCTCTTCTTCTCTCTTACATTCTCAACATTATTTGTTGAAAATTGGAGGATGAAGCAATCAAAAAAAACCCCAACTTATTATGTAGGCTGATACCTACAGCAATGGAAACACACATTTTCAACTTGTTCTTGTAAGCAAAGCTGAAAGGATCTTGATATGTTGGAGGTGGGATCCTAGCCACTTTTTCAAGCTGGAATCTCTACAGTGAGTAAACAGCAGTTGTAGATTCCTCTAAGATAATTCAGAAGCAAAATGGCACAAATATTTAAATTCATGTTCCTGAATTAACACTGTATTGTGATGCCAAATGAAAGCTCTGATAAATGTCATACTCCACAAATATATGAGCCTTGTCCATACTGCATTCAGTTTAAAAAGCATTGTAGGAACAATAAAGTGACCATGAACTTCTCCCCCATTTGGCACAGGTGAAAGAAGGAGTTTACAATAATGACACTCAGGAAGCAAGAGACACAAGGAAAAGATGCTCAAAGCAAGGCTGTTCACACAGCATGAGAGGAAAAGTTCTCTGCCTTGGCACCTTATAAGCTTGTAGTTACAAAACTGCTGTAGAAGGAAACAAATACAAAGTGGTCTTTGTGTCTTTAGATATAGCAGCCATTTATGACTCCTTTCTTCAGGCAGTATCCTGAAAGGGCAGAGTAAGGACAATAAAAATAAGAATTCTTGATGTTAAATAGCATTGTTGATTACAGCGGAAAATTTACCAGATTTTAATGCTAAATGACACAAAGTTAACTGGTCAAATAAGAAAACCAGTAATTACTTCCACCAGAATAGGGCTAAAAATGAAGAAACAACTCTCCAGAAAAATACTGATTTTTAAACTTGATTAATGAAAGTGCTCGTTACACAGCAATCAGAATATCTGAACTGACAAGAAAGGACGGATTTTCTTTCTGCCCCACTTGCACTATATGAAGGTAGACAAGGAGGAAGTCCACAAATGGCAGGGCTTAAATCGGAGGGAAAAAAAATCAGAAGAGGTTATGCTATTTTCTCCTCAAACTGTAGGGACATTCTTTATGCTAAGTACTAAACAGCACTGTTACAGCAATTGTGTGCTACTATGTATAAATTTTTAATAATAATAAAAGAAGAATTCTCTCTTTTCTTACAAAGCTATGCATTCACATGAAACTGAGTGGACCATAATGAGTACTTAAATAGTAATCACTCCTTAAATCTGAGAAACCAATATAGTCTATCAATACTAGTAATTACATGAATAGTAAATTAGAAATGCACCAATTGAAAGGCATTTTTACAATTAATTTTCATTATGGTTTTGGTAATCAGTGCAAGTTACATTATCATTATTCTACTTAGACTAATAACCATCATTAGGCACTTAAATACTTGTATTGATCAATTTCAAGGTGCTCTAAAGGTAGATCAGAATGTATTTCAGAAAACGATATGCTGAAGTCTATTACTCCAAATCATACAGAAAGTCAAGGAACTGGGAGAAACAAAAAACACCTTAGGATACTTATCTGCTGGTTAGAATATTCATGTGACCATGATATTGCTTATTCAGATCAGGAAAGGCTTTAGTGTACTCTAAAATTGAAAAGCAATTTTTCTTTTTCATAAATTTAAACAAATATTTTAATCAAAACATTTAGTACTAAGGAGCTAGGTGATACTTGTTCACTATGTGATATAGTGGATAAAAAGCTCCTGAACTGCATAAATTAGAGGAATGGTGAAACATAATGATTTGAAAGAGTCAACAGAAGCTGCATTTACTATTAAAATAAGTAGCCATTTGGTAGTGGAATTTAACTGGAAAACTAAACACAAATTATTCCATTGACTCTTCAATGCTGTAGTGACACAATCCAAGTCAGAGCACTTATAAATCAGCTGCTAGAATATGGAATCCATATATGGACCCAGTTGTGAAATTCAAACAAGTCTCCTCTTGAGTACCCAGGAACATATTTAACTGCAGGTGGACAGGACCAACTGTACACAAAAACAGCAGATCCATCATAGTATACTCCATTGATAAGCCACACGACAGTTGAATAACAAATACAGTTTGCACTATCTGCCAGTAACAAATGTCACTGACTGCTTCAGACAGGAAAGAGCTAAACAAAACAGTGAAGAAAGAAGTGGAGGTTACAGCTGAAGCTATAAAACCCTGCTTTAAACTGAAGCAGCATAATATTATATGGGGCAGTTTCAATTTTTTTAAATATATAGAGTATTTCTGAAATACCTATGTTCAAACATCCACACACAGGAGAAATTAAGGTAAAGAGGTACGCATATAATAAAAACACATAGGTAAACTACAGTGGTGGGCAGTTTAGGTCGGCAAGTTACCTCTGTGCATGAAACATGCTAGGTTGTATCCACTAAAGCAATGTAGCAGAAAACTGGATAGGTGGCCTGGTTTCGGCATCAAAACCACAATACATCTGGCCATTCCTTTTGTTACTTCAGCAGATGGATCTTACAGACAAGAATTTTTTTTATGACAATACCTAGAGAAGCTTTTAACACGTACCTATCATGCAGCTTGCTGTAAATATAGAACACTGTTTGGCACAGTTAAAAACTGTTCAAATATGATTATGAAATACTTTCTGAGAAATCTTAATACTAGCAACTTCTAGCATATTGCAGAAAAGTATTTTGGCCAAAGATTAATTAAATGGATCTCTTGAACTGCAAAGGATTGTATTATTAAGAAATCCACTTGGAGGCTGGAGGAATACAACTGAATAAATAAGGTAGAGTAACAAATATTTTCTCTCATGGGAATACCTGATAGAGATGTTACTTTATGGTGACATGCTCTAAAATTATGGACACAGATCACAGTTCATCAGGCAGAGTAAAAGGATTAGCTTGCTTACAGTAACAGTTAAGTATGAATGCAATCAAACTTCGTCAGAATAGAAGAACATAACACATATTTCCTAATGTAGTTAACAAAAACATTATTTTTTGTCAATGGTCAGCTGGATTACTGACAATTGCAAAAAAAAAAGGATAACAGTGTTCACATTAATCCAGCTCTAAGCCCTTGGTTAATCAATCATTTTCAGATCAGTTAATACTTACTCGATTATCACTTTCATGATCCTTAATGATTAAGTACCTCAGCAGATTTAGTGATGCCATAATCCTGTGAATTAGAAATACACTATTTAAAACACAGATTTGTATTACTGGGATAATAATTTAAATTGTCCGTTAGCCAGAGACCCTAAAACTATCCATTTGTACAAATGCAATCACTCCTCTGTTGAGCAATATAGCTTAGTCTAGAGCACCAGCATGCAGTAACATCCATGTTACAACAGCTGACACTTTGCAAGTAAGATTAAAACTGTCAGCAGATTGGAGAAGGCTGGTGATTGTGA